ATGCGGAGAGAGAGAGAGAGAGAGAGAGAGAGAGAGAGAGAGAGAGAGAGAGAGAGAGAGAGAGAAAGAGAGAGAGAGAAAGATACGAATAGAAATGTTTCTCATTGAGTATCAAACAGTTCCGAGGACTGTCTTCACCGCTCTCGCTACACAACCACGTTCTATCTTTAAGTTATATTATTCATTAGCGAGCATAGACACGTACCCAACAGGCGACGACCTGTTGTTCGACTTGGATAAGAAACTTGAAATCATGCCAGCGAGGCGTTTTCGCGGTTAACGACGATTCTCACGCTGTCCTCGTGTTCTCGTTATCTCGGAGTCAACACACCTTCACACAACTCTCACCTTTCCGTCCTTGTGCTTGAGCTCCTCCAGGTTTTCGGGAACGACTTGCACGATGAACTGATCCTTGGCGGTGTCGCCGTGTTTGCTGATAGCCTTCACGGTCAGATGATGACCGCCCACGTCCTTCTTCGACGGCACGCCCGAGAGAGTAGACGCTGCTTCGTCCCAGTGCAACCATCGCGGGAGACTATCGTGATCGATCGTCTCGTGAACCTAACGTTGTTTTTCATGTGTAAATCATATTATCTCCCGTTACCGCTCCACCGTCGGGAAGACGATTTTTATATGCGTGGCTCTTTCCTTTCTGTCGGGCGCGATAAAACTCGAGAATAAGTCGGGACACGTCGTACGGTCACGACGACGACAGAACGTGTTCCGCTGCCCGAATAATTTTGAGGACAAAAGGAAGACTAGGGCCATTCAGCCTAAGAAGGATTTCCGGCCGTGGGATTCGTCGTGACGCGGGGAGCAAATTGAATCGCAAATATGGATTCAACGAGACGACGTCGACAGGGCTCGAGAGGGAAGAAAATGACAGATGCGAGGACAAGTAAATCAATAGCGCTCAGTAGCAGCGGACATTGCTGATACTTGACGGTGCTACGAAGATCGACGCGAAGAAAGAAGTGCGTTTTCATGCCGCTTTAATTCGACCCAACTCTTGCTTTGCGTGAATACAGACGGTGTCCCTGAGAACAAAATTCCTCTCGTTCTTTGCACATCACCTAAGTACTTTTTAATGATTATTAAATTTTCGACGTTTTCCCTCAGATCTCACGTATTTGTGCACTTTCAAGTTTCAGGATTGACTCGAGGATTTTTCAGGGAATCGCGCGCATTTCCAGGGACTGTCTGAAAGAACAAAGATTCGAACGACCTGTGCAGGGTCGAGGCGCCGAGCTTAGTCAATAACGCAAGACTTGACACTCGAAAAATTCCGGCTAAAATCGGACCCGGGAAACGATTGACTCACCTCATAAAAATCCACGTTTCCCGAGAAGGCTTGTCGGGGTATTTTCATCTTGAAAACATGTCCAACGGGGACAACGGTGTCCGGCACACCCCACAATCTCTCGAAGCGATGCCTTCTGTTGTCCCTGAACGACGGCTCGACGACATGCTCGCGACGATCGGCCCGAGGAACCGTGTGGTAATTCACGGTCGATAGAGGCGCGTCGTTCTCATTGTCTTCGCCGACGTCGTCGAAGACCAGGTCGTCCTCCTGCAGGCTGAGAGCCAGCGCGAGAGGCAGGAGTAGGACGCACGCAAGGACATGAGGCTTCTTCATCTTTCGGGGGAGTAGTCTTCAGTCACTGGACCATACCATGCTGTTACGCCTGCAACAGGTCGATGAGTCAGCTAACCGCTGTCGACTGACAAGTATCGAAAGCGGAGTCGTGATAATTATGACGCGCAGTTAATCACGGCGCGACAAGTTGCGATTGTTGAAGCGCGCGGACACGCCAGCGGCGCTAACGAAGAGAGATCTGCACGCGAGTTGTCGAGCTTTTAACGACGCGCGCAATAAAATAAAATACAGTCGTTGCGATGTAATCGAATAAAAGTTGCTATTCAGTGAACCAGACACCGGCTGATAATTGCGCGCACGCCGAGCATTCGCCGCCGCCGCCGCCGCTGCACTTCTGTTGCCTGTGTTCCCGCCATCATCCTGTTATTCTCGCTGTTTAGGTTCGAACCGAGACTAATGGAACATTTTCGTAACCGGAGGAGCGGAGCGCGCGCGCGAACGCATTCCCAATGGTATCCAATGATAGCCAATAAAAGCTTTCATTTTATTTCCCTTTATTGCCCGTTTCGCCGAGCACTGTTTCATTAATTGACGCAGTCGGACAATGGAGGAACGCTGACAGTTGTTAAACCGTTGTCATCGTTGTCGGACCAACGACTGTTAAACCGGAGAAGGAGCCATTAGAAGCTCGCCGAAATAGCACCCTCCAAATTACGTTGTTGTGAACACGCGTCGATCAACGGGCGTGCGAGTGAGCTGTCTATTTTATTATTCGCGTGACAGCTGACCGCCCGAAAAAACTATTTTAAACTCGATCATTCGGTGGGAATGAATTTTCATTTTAATTAATCGTCCGTCATTGAGTCACGAAACAAACAAACATGAGATAATTCACTGAAACGAGGACAACGCCCGTCGTTCACAGCGAACGCTCGTCGTTTTCTCGGGAGCATGGGATGACGTTCGTTTAATCGCGCAAGGAAGAACTATGTCACGCGTGTAATGTTATTCGCGACTTTTAAATGTCGCATAACTGTGACAAAATCGACGCGATCGCCCACGTAGAAAAGTGCATTCAAGGAAATATTACTCATTTCGAGTATTTCATAAGTTCATCACAAGCGTGAAATTTATTCAAAATGCATTTAAGCACTCCAATCAAAAATTTTAAATTACACAGAACTGATCTTTCCTGTGGTAAAATTTTCTAATATTTGTACAGATACATTCTTACAATACAATAAATTCTTCTTTTGAGATCAGTTCTACGTGACAATGAATTTTTCTCAAATTTATGACGAATATATTTCAGGACTATTGTCGAGAAAATATTCTTTGCTGAAGATGATATCATTATTTAAGAGAAGAAAAGTAAAGTGAGTAATTGCTTTTCTTAGCAGAGCAGAATGACATTTTTCTGTGTGTAGTGACGTGCAAATTCCGACCGACCTAGTCGGCTACGCGTCTCGTATCCTCGAACATCTACTTTTGACCTCAATATTCTTAGTCTCTCCAATAATCCCGGGGAAATTGAAATCAAAGTTTAACGCGAATTGAGACGTATTCCTTACTCCTCCGCCGCAGAGGTGATATATAGGCGAGGCTAATCGCGTCGACTTCGAGGAACCAGGAACGAGCGGTCATACTCGATTTAAACGGGGCCTGCCGGTCACGTTTCATATAAGTTGGGGTCACGGATTAATCACGCTGATGAAAACGAGGACGACGCGATATACTAGATCCAGCCGAGCGACTACAAAGACGGTCAACGGACCGCGAAGGTTACCTCACGGTGGGTGTAGACAATTGAGTTTATATGCCCGCGTTTATATGCGTTCACGCGGCAAGATGTAGACATTTCAGCTCATTACTTACTCTCATTGCTCGATATCGCAATTCGCGAACTAGCCGGTCGTCGCTTTGAAAGTAGCGTTATAAATTGGCGAGATATGCACATGACAATAGTTCCTAGAATGTTGTAATAATTCTCGAATAGTTTGCGCCAGTAAACCCTGACGCGGCTGTGAAGCCGTTGGACTCTAGTCTATGTGTGTGCGCGCATGTGTATAAAGTCGGTGAATTATTTATTTAACAAACCATCTCTGCCTCCCTTCGGTCACGCGTCCGAAGGTATGAATCAGCCGTGACACGAATATCGAGTTATATGATGTCACTCGACGTGACGTGATTTTTTCTTCCTTTTAGAGAGAAAGAGAGAGAGAGAAAGAGAGAGAAAGAGAACGGCGCGCGTGAGCGACACGACCGACGAGCAAAATATGCCCGCCGTGACAAATAGTTTAAAGGTCCGTACAAATGGACGCGGGATACGGGCTGCGGGATGAGCGACGCCGTTTATCACAAGGATCGGTGAAAACGATCGGTCTCGCGTCTATCCACCCTCGCGCACCGTGCGAATCCGCGCCGACCTTAATGCGATTTCACAGTTACGATACCTGTGACAACGGGGGAACGAGTATTTATCGAAGCTTAACGATCCGATATAGCGATGTCGGTTGTCCGATCGCCGACGCGGCGAGAAGCGCGAGTCTTTGATCGTCTGCCAAAAGCGACAGCATTTTTTTTTCTCGCACGTTTCCGACGCCCAGTACAGACCCACGTTATAACTATTAAATAATTAAATAATTATAACTATTAAATAAACACAATAAAATAAAATAAATATGCAAATAAATAATAATGAAATAAATAAATATAATAAAGAACTTAAAAAAGAAATAAAACAAATCGCCTTGAAAAACCTCAAAAGCCCTAAAGAGAAGTATGAGATCATTTCGAATCAACATTCCTATATATATCTACAATCCTGTCGTAACACATTTCAAACGTGTATATTATATCTCCTTACACACTTATGTAGTTATCTATCTGTGTATCTTTTTCCTGGTGACTTCTAACATCGTTAGAATTATAAGTGTATAGGAATATTTCAAATCATTTCACACATTCTAAGACTTATGAGGTTTGATAAATCGATTTAAAAAAAAATGTGTATTATTTTTGGAGTCGGTTCAAAATAAAAAAAATGTCGCCTTGTATCTCTAGATGTTTTCGATTTCTCAGGAAATTAACGGAATCACCCAATTTCCAGGGCATCTGGAGAGAAAAGTTTCATCTCAATTCTCCAACAGTTCTTGAATTATGAGAGGGCATACGAGCAAACAAACATACACACATGCAGAACAAACAGAGATCCTCCTGTTTTGGAAGTCGATTAAAAATACAAGAGGTCCGAATTTGCAAGTCAAATAGGGTCGTACTGCGCGTGTTACGACCTATGCAAATGTTTTTTGTGCATTCTATGATGCGCTCATCTGAACACATTGTGTTCCGACACTTGAACGTCTGAATTACCGAATATTTTATTCACACGAACGTCCAACACAATCGGCTCTCACCGTCTTTGCCTAATCGCACGACTTGCAGAGGAGCCCGTATACTTCAAGCCACTGCACTTCAACATCGTATCGATTCGCGTCCGCTCAACCATTCCTTCATTCATGCGATAGTTTATCGCGATGCATCGAGCGCGCTCGAGACCTTGCCTCGCGTCGCCGCACGGTATGCAGGACGCAAATGCATCGCAGGTGCCGTCGAGACACGCGCGGGGAATATGAGAACGATCGCGTCTGTCGGGTTCGGGAAGAGCACCGGGAACGGAAGCGCGCGCGAGGAGAACGGAAAGATCGATAGCACCTACTACCTGGAGAATGCAACCGATCGTCACGACGACGACGACGACGACGACGACGACGACGACGACGACGCATTTGGCGTCGTGGCTCATTGAACGGCACTATGCGATCGAGCAACACGTGTCGTTCGACTCGACGATCGTAAATCTGTGGTCATGCTGTCCTACGCAACGTTAGCTTCTGTGTTCACAGTACGACGTGATATTTTCTACTAAAACAAGAAGATATATGTATCAATAGCGACCTCACGATTGTGTTCATTCAGTGGATCCATTAATAACGTAGTCACTGTTTTACTTCTTTTCTCAAAAGCAGCTATTAAAGAGATTTCTCTCTCTTTCCCTTGAGTCAGTGACCTTAAAGGAATCAATCGATACTGTCCTACGCGAGTATCGCCGACGGTGTCAAAGGTGCGCGCTGTTGCGGATTCCGCTCGCATGAACGAGAGGTGATTACTCCCCGTTGACGTGCACGAGAGGCCGCGGCAAAATATAGAAGGAGACGTTAATCGAGACGTTAATAATAACACTACGATAACACCCGTTATCCGTGGCGAACGACTTCGCGGAATCTCGCGGTGGAAATCCCGCGAGGCAACACGTTAGCTTCGCGTTCATGCGGTTATTTCTGAAAATTTCAGCGATGACGTCAACTGTGTGTACTGAAAGAGGCAGATGAGATTTTCGAGGACCAGGGACGCGGCGTATCATCCGTCCTCTCGCGTGAGATCTAAATTTAAAGCAACACGCGCGCGTATCGTAGCGCGCCTCGAACGATTTTTCCTTCTCGCAACCCGATTTCTCCTCCTCCTGATGTCTTCGACTGCGCGCATCGAAATCATAAAAATCGAAGCGATATAATAGCCGACGTCCTTCGCTGCAGACAACGCGCAATAATAGACGCGACAAACAATGCTTCGGCGAGAATAATGTCGCGAATCGCGAATAGTCGCACGTAAGCGGTGCATCGATGCACCCGCGGTCTAATTATAGATATCTCATCATTGGCGCGCATATTACCCGTTAGTAATACGCATACATACACACACACACTTTGTTGCGTAATACGTATCATTGTCCGCATGATTCGCAGGCAAGCGCGGCATCAAATCGACTGCGACGACGCGGTCGCTCAATAACACATCAATTCCTATCTGTCTCTAAAGGCGGTCGATGCATTTCGCCAAAAGGAAAATTCCCGTCGCCAAGTGATCGCCGGACTTTCATCCGTTGGGGAGAATCGTCTCTCCCTAACGAGACACCCGGGGACCACGGGTGTCATTTCGATAACCGCTTTTCCGTGCCTCGTGTACACAGAGCCGACGTTTACACAACCTTTATTCCTCCACATGCCGCGACGAGCTCACGAAGCGACG